GCAATTTCACAGATCCCCTCCCCCCAAAAAAAAACAACAACAACGAAATATTCCTAGGCTGAGGCAGGAGGATCCTAAGTTCCAAGCTAGTTTGTTCTACATAGCAAGGTTGTGATAGCGAATGGTAATGGAAAGGATTCTTAAGAAATCACATGGGTGAGGGGGCTGGAGAGATTGCTCAGCAGTTAAGAGCACTCACTGACTGCTCTTCCAGAGGTCCTAAGGTCAACTCCTCAATTCCCAGCAGCCACATGGTGGCTCACAGCCATCTGTAATGAAATCTGGTGCCCTCTTCTGGCCTGAAGGTCACATTCTCTTCTTTTCCTCCCTAATGTATCTGTAACAGAGAGAATTCTGACAGTACAATTTCTCTTCGTTGGTGCTGATGCTTGGGTTTCAGTCCTTCCATTTCCTGCATCAAGCTTACCAAACATTCTACTTTAATTTCTCATTAGAATTATTCTTCATAGGGGCTGGAGAAATGGCTCAGAGGTTAAGAGCACCGGCTGCTCTTCCAGAGGTCCTGAGTTCAATTCCCAGCAACCACATGGTGGCTCACAACCATCCGTTATGAGATCTGGTGCCCTCTTCTGGTGTGCAGATATACATGGAAGCAGAATGTTGTATACATAATAAATAAAAAAAATCTTTAAAAGCAAAAAAAAAAAAAAAAAAAGAATTATTCTTCCTAACTTTGAATTTTGAAAGCTCACCCCATCCCCAGCCACCATTGTGTAAACTGGGTCCAAACAAATTGAGCATGCCAGTGTCTTGTTTCAATTTTTTCTTTTTTCTTGTGTTTCAGTGAAAAGCAGGAAGAAAATTCATTGGTATCTGATCTGCAGACAAGAAATGGTAATAATGGTCTTTGTTGCTGTCTCTCAATTCAACACAATTCATACATAGATTATAGTGATAACACTTCCAGGCATTCAGTAGTTAGGATGAGTCCAGCAGTCTCCACTTTTTTTGCTCCGTCTCATTCTTTCCCTATACTCCATCTCATAGACACTTTAGATCAGAACTAGTTCTGTACTATTATTGGCACAGTATATATTAAAGACTCAGACATTTGGGTGGGCAAGTAGCTTCTTGGAGAACTGCCTTTTAATTATCAGTGACATACATACATGCATACATATATACATACATACATACATACATACATAGATTTTGTTATTTCATAAATCTGCTATTTTGGCTTTTTGAGACAGGGTTTCTCAGTATGTAGCCCTGGCTGTCCTGGAACTACCTCTGTAGACCAGGCTGTCCTGGAACTCACAAAGATCCTCCTGCCCCTGCTTCCTGAGTGCTAGGATTAAAGGAACATGCCATGCCTAGACTCTGGTTAGATTTATTCTGGAATCCAAATCCTTTAAATTTGGAGGGAAATAACCAATTTGCAGTGTCATAAAAAATAATACATTTTTAATATTTTTAAGCATTTGTAGAATGTTATTTTTTTCAATCATAGTAATTATAGTTTTTTTTTTGCAGGCATTTGTCTAGTTACAGTTACAGTAATAGGAAAATAAAAAGTATGCATAATCCTAGCACTTGTGAAGCAAGGGCGGTAGATCTCTGAGTTTAAGTTAGTCGAGTCTAATGATGAGACTCTTAAGTATAAATTATCATGCAGACATTGTGTAAAGTTCCTGTAATCCCAATGGTTGGGGGGGTGAGGCAGGAGGATCACTTGATTTCTGGAGTTTGACACTGTCACAGGGAACATAGTGAGATCCTATACTTTTTTCTTTGTAGGATCCCGAGGACCAGGCCAAGGTACTTGGTGGCTCCTGTGTCAAACAGAAGAAGAATGGAGACAGGTCACTGAGAGCTTTCGAGAGAGGACCTCTCTCCGAGAGCGGCAACTCTACAAGCTCCTCAGTGAGGACTTCCTGCCTGAAATCTGCAACATGATTGCCCAGAAGGTAGAGCCCGATGTTAATATTGTAGCTCATTCACCTGCTGTCCTTATCCTGCAGGTGATTTGTAATGTTTTCCTTACTTCTGGAAGTCCCATGTCCAACACCCTCCAGTTCTTAGAATGACTTTATGCAGAGTGGAACCTCCTTTCATTTCTCTATAGCTAGCACCAGGAAACGTGGCCTGAGTTTGCTCTCCTCTGTAGCACAGCAGGTGAGCCTTTGATGAACATTTGTCCTGGTAGGTCTGTGCCAGTTCCTTACCTGATTCCACCTGAGCTGTTTGTGGTTTCTCTGACTTTAGGGTAAAGTATATGAACTATATACTCCTTATACATGGCATTTTCAAACATTTTTCTGTCCCCTATGGGTGTTGTTCAAAAGCCTCATTTCAGATTGAAGAGATGGCTCAGGATTTAAAAGTGTGCAATGCCAATAGCTTCTTGATTAGGAGTAGAACTTTGTGTTCACTTCTTCTCGGTGCTTAGACTTCATTGGTACCTTTGTTCCCATTCCTGATAAAATTAAACATAGTGTCATTCAGCAGTCCCCAACTCAGCTTCTTCTTTTTTTAAACTAGTTTATTTAATGTGCATTAGTGTGAAAGTGTCAGATCTCTTACAACTGTAGTTACAGACAGTTGTGAACTGTCATGTGAGTGCTGGGAATTGAACCCAGGTCCTCTAGAAGAG